ACAGGAAATCCTCCTGGAGTGCATAAAAAATTGTATTTGTTGTCTTTTATGAGATTCCCATACTTTTACTCAAAAAACCCTTCAAATTCCTCAAGGTTTGATTGCGTTTTTTTTTTATTGCCAAACGTTAAACACTTCACGTGGCCGCCTATGCCGTAAAATTTCGCATAGCTTGGCACGGAGCAATAAATCCTAAAATTAAACCAACGGTGCGACGGGGAAAATGTGCTCCGAGATTCCACTCAAAACCGAGAGATGTTCGCAGTCAGGGACCAAAGCCCCAAGGCAAACATCATTATAGAATTCTTAAGAAGAAAAAAAGACTGGTGGGAGATTTTTTTTTTTCAAAGAAAACATCATATTTAATTGTTGAACTTTGACAAAAATGGAAGTGGATTTTTGCTTCAAAGTGAATCTATCGGGCCGGTGATTTTCACGCGAGGATTTTTTTTCTTTCTGCAATCCTCGTGGTTTTCGAAGCCGAATTCCAAACGTTACAGGTTTGACCTCTGGAGTCAGTAGTTCATGTCCACAGAAGCTGCACAATCCCTCCCCCCCCACCCACCCCCACCACCGCCTCTCTCTCCATCTCTGGTTTTCCCTTTCTCAAAATATTAATCGAATTTCAACTCGATGCTGACAAAACCGCAAACTTGGTTAAAATCTAAACGATGTAAGCCTCACGGGTTATACTTCATTTTTGCCGGAGAGAAACGGCCACCATCGAGACAACACAACAGTTATTTTATACATTTATATGGCAAACAATTTGTCCTATTATCGCTCCACCTTGTGATTGGCTAAAAGGAGGTTACATTGGCTAACCCTTCGTTAACACGTTGCCGATGGCAATGCCCATACACCGCAATCAATAAGTGGCGACCGACACAAAATCACTTGGCTGGAAATTCAGTAATGAAAACTGATTCATCTCCATCAAGGTTAGACATGCACCGTTGTTATTTTAAACGGTTTCTGGGCGATCAGGGTTGGACGTGGTGCTCTCTGAGGGCAAGGGAGGGACAAGATCCTAGTGCTGAGCCGCCCGTACTGAACATCCGTAAAAAAGAGAGAATAGCTTCATAGCCCATCAGATTCCTCCAGTCTAAATAAAAATTCGGATTCTGAAAGATTCTGAAGAGGAGGCAGGATCATTATGGCGTTAAAATAGCCACGACGGGTTAGCAGGTTTGATAACGATGGCCGATGAGGTGGCTGCGAGAGACTGAACTGTAAAGTGGCACCAATAAAGTGTGGTATGCACACAAGTGCGGGCAGAGTAACAGTATGCGTAGGCCATATTGAAGTTGTATCATGACATCAGAAAGAGCGGGGGGGGGAGGAAGTCAAGGGATTATCACACATTGATGCCCCTAACTTTGCGAACTGATCACGCGACAGACGAGTTATGTAGTTGATCGTGCTGGCAGCGGTGCAAAAGCAAACAAACAAACAACAACAACAGCTCAACACATCCACGGCTATTTCCATTTTGAGGCAGCGTTACTGACGAACGCTTCGAGTCTTTTGATACTAGAGACCAGCTGAGGATAAAAAATAACAGTATGGCTGTCAAGCGACAAACATTACTCTCAGCGGAAGACTGGGCGGGGGGAGAGCGCTGCCCCCCTAACTGTGTGGACGGAGGTCAATTGAAGCGATCTCAAGAGGTAGTTCCGTGAAGTCTGCTTCCGCGGGCCATTTTTCAATCAGAGGGCAGCACTGCTCTGTGAGAGATCCCAAAGGATTCTCCGTTTCATGGCGCGACGTCAAGAGCAAAGTTAGGGTGACACGGGGGGGGGGGGGGGGAAATGCGTGTGTTTTATCGTGGACAACTGTAGATGGAAAGCCAGAATACGAGCAGTTGTGAGCATCGGATTTATGAAAATCTCGACTGTAGAATATTGACTTTGATGCCAAGGATACGACGGAGCAACAAAAAAAATGACTATCAAGCGTGAGATTGCGCATGCATTCGTTCTAGCATTTTTGTAAAGGCCTTTTAAAAACAAGGCCTCCTATGTAAATGTGTGCGCACGTCGTGAGAAGCGGTGGAAGTTATCGCTCCCGCTTATGTGGTATGTAGGGTTTGTCGAGAAACATCTTATTTGTATTGCATCAAAGGTTTTTACGCTGAAAAAAACGGCGTAATATTCCAGGTTGATATAATTTTCTAATAAATTGATCATATTTACATGTACGCGAGGTCATTTTAACTCCAGCAGGGTGATGGTTAGGGCACTTGGAAACCTACAATCGGAAAGTTGCGAGTTCAAATCCCAGCCGGGTGCCGACTCAGCCCGTCTCTCTATGGCCAACAAAATGAGTACTACTTTAGTGTAAAGCCGAGGAGTGGTTGTGCCCTCCAAAAAACTGGTTGCGTATTGCACGAAATTCTGAAGAACACATCGGGTGTAGGCAACTTGCCCTATTTAACTTTCAATGGCTAGAAAGCTCGGGGATCAACTTTTACATTTTAACCACAAATGTCGCTTGTGGCACCACGCACGCGACCATCAGCCCCCCTTCCTGGCTAGAGCAATTTTCACGGCCGATACTCAACCTTCAACGTCCGCTCTCAGTTCCATCACCATCATCGTGATCGTCGCCGCCACCACCCATGCGGCTTCATCTCCCCCTCTTCGTCGCAGCCCCGTGGATGCCACACCACAAGTGCCAGTCGCGCGGCAACTCGCCCTCCTCCACTCTCGACACGCAATCCCCACTCATATCAAGCCTACCCCTTATTACCCATACTTTCTTTCCAGACGAAGGCAACTCCGTTGAGAATGCTAAAGAGCGGTGGGAGACAAAGCCTGGGGGACAGCCTGCTCGCTCGGCTGCCCCCTCTTTTTTTACCCAAAGGCTCAGCAGTGTGCGTGAGGAATTGCCTTGAATTATTTTTTATGCCATCAAATACATTCGCCAATGTTCACCACATCCATCTGACAGTCAAAAGAACTCTTAATATGATTGGGAGGGGGAGGGGGGGTGGGGGAGGGGAAAGGAAGCTCAGTCCCATTGAGGAAACAACTAAGTATTGAGGTGTCAATTTGAGCACGCGAAATGTGGTATTTTTCAGCTGAACTTTAGAATTTTCACTTGAATGAAGCCATTAAAAGTTTTCAAGAAGTTGTGAATTATCATGAAAAGCTCACGGACACCCAGGGAATTGGATTTTTTTCTCACAAAACAACCTTGAGCAAACCGAATGAAAAAAAAATACCCCATGTTATTATCATACTTTACATTTTGTGCAGGTAATAAAATGCAATTTACAGCGCTTTGTCAATCCGCTGTTGGATGAAGGCCTCCTCCCAAAGATATTACCGGTCATGGCGCTTGTTTGACCATACTTCATCATGCCAGTCAGTGCGGGCTGATGAAGGCGACGGAGGGGGGGAGTACACGGGGACTCATTCAGACGTCATTGATGTTCGCCGCGGCTGGGAGTCAAACGCAGATCTCGAAGAGTTCACCGGGTCATTGCTTACATGCGTCCACTTTGAGCAAAACAGGTCCGCGAATGTTAGCTCCAACAACGGCGCCCCATTTCATGTGTGGGTGAAATAACCGTGGACAATCATCAACATCAGGAAATATATAACTAAACCTCTGAAATAAACGCCTCATTTGCACCTAATGTTTGAGCAATTTTACAGTGAACGGCAAGATGCAATGAAAAGCAAACGTGCCACATCAAAGCAAAACATTCTTCAGTGTTACACCGAGGGACAATATTAATACAATTATGAATGCACAGTTACTGTTATGGAAACCTCCATCTCCGCGGTGGTCGCTCTGAGATGGGAGCAACGAGATCGCCTCGCGGGGAGGAGACGGATATAGGATCGTGGCATCGTGGGACGGCGAGGGAGGTCTTCATCCAGCAGCGCAACGACCGTGGGGCTTCCCAATGATTGTACGACGCATAAATTGCTCACTGACGCATGTGATGAGTTTTTGTTTTTGTTAAGCGTACCTCTTGGCCGAACAGTGCAAAGGTGAACGAGCCTCTCCCATGTTGGAACCAACCGTTGACCCTTGAGTCGAGTCTATTTTACATCCCTTCAAGAATTAAATTCGCTGACCTTTGACATTCGAGGAAGATTTGATTTTTTTTGTTCATGACATTGCATGGAGTTCACCAATTTCAATGACTACAACAAAGCATGCTGTGCTCCACTGCATCGTATGCGTGTATAATTTTTTTTCCCGCACAGTACGTAGCCAACCGCGGTAAATCGGAGGCGCGAGCTTCATCGTATTTAAGTCCAGGAGTGAATTAACAAGCCTTTAAAATTAACTACTTAGTTGCCATTTGTCACCGGGTCTGTGGCCATTTGATGAACCGTTACAATGCAGGGTCAAGATTTGATTTTATAAAAATCACGATTCTTTTACATTGTGTGCATTTGCACTTCCTCTAGTGGCTGTGGGGGGGGTTATGCGATTCTAAACTAAACCATGAATGCAAATATATTTTATTTTACCAGGTAAGGCCCACTGAGCTATACAGCTCTTTGTCAGAAGTGACCTGGCCACAAACGATAGCTCAACGAAGTAGCTTATCATCACGTGGAAATTTACAGCAGCCGAATACTCTAAACGACACGTGTTCTTAAATGTGGAGGGAAAAACCGGAGGACCCGGAGAAAAATCGACTCGATGATCATGGGGCGAGAGACATCGCAAACTCCAAATATACAGCAGGCGTCGGGGTCGCACACGGTTCGACATATCGCGAACGTAAGAATCGACTCATCGATCGACGCATCGGTGCGCAACTCCACCACTGACATTTTTTTTTTCAACTTGCGCGAGGACTTCTCCCAAGCGTCGGGGAAAAAAAAAGAAACAAACCTTCTCTATGTTCGGGGGCGGATGCGAGGAGGAGGAGGGGGGGGGGGGGGTAGTGGCACGCGTGTGAAGAAAAACACGTGAAAATAAAAGCGGGGCAGTTTTTGACGCTCAAATTGTAACGGTTAGGTGAGACGGACCTTGAGAAGATGTGGTCACCACCGCGATGGTAGGTGGCGCATTGCCACTCTCGGCCCCAGGTCGGCGGTCCCGAGCGCCCCAGCTCTCCCGACTCAGGCCGACTGCAAAACAACGACGCAACGGCACATGCCACGCGAAGAGTAAAGCCCGTTAACAACAACAAAAAGAAACACAAACAAGATAGCTTGGAAATCCAGCCCGTTAGGCGAGCGGCCGGCAGAACTTTAAGCTGACAGCAGTTGTTGTTGTTCTTCGTTTTTAAAACGAGCATTGGGCACTTTGTCGCTCTCTTTTGGGTCGTCTCAACTGCAGAGCGAGGCCCTGCCTGCTACGAGCTTCACCCAATGGTGGGCGGCGATGGGGAAATTGACCCGACGTTGCCGCCGGGAGTCGTGGCTTCGAGGTGGCAAACGTTCAGGACCCACTGTCGTCAATCCACCACTGGACGAAGGCCTCCCCCCCCCCCCCCACCCCACGCCGTTGTCGGTCACGGTGGAGCCTGTTTGACCATACTTTCTCTTTCTGGTCCGTTTGGGTTGATTGAGCAGGAAGGGTGGGGGGGATTTAGTTCAGGACTGGTTCAAAGATTGCTCGCGACTGATATTAGCCGTGGCTAGCGTTGTAGGGTTGGACCGATTACATAACAGGGAACATTTTTGCAAGGTTTTCCTCAGCATCAATTAGTAATAAGACGAAGTCAAGGGCAAATTCTCGAAATCATCGTGAACGCAGTATTACGTAAAAATGTACACCAACAACAACAAAGATAAAGATTTTGATTTAAAGCTTTCGTGACTGCAATAATTCATATTCTTAGCTCTTTCGGTAAAGTCACGTTGAAGGGAAACAATAAAGATGTAGCCTTGCAATTTCTTGCTATTGTCACCGCTGGCAGAAGGGCGACCACGAGTGGGGGAGCTCTCTAGAGACCCCCCCCCCCACCGCCATCCCCCAAGAGTCTGTTTCACCTTCTCTTGCACACAATGAAGTGGGGCTACCACCCACACTTTAACCCACCGCATGTGACCCTGCTTGAACGGCCAACTGTGCTGTAGCCTTTTGGCAAGTAATCAAGTCTGCATTAACCACACGGTACTTGTGGTGAACATGCAAACAAAACAAACTCTGGTAATTATATATGGCATTGTCTTTGAAACTGATTGGTCTACAGCAGAGAGAGCCTTCTTTAGGGCCTAGTCTCACCAGTGGCAGACAAGGGAACGCCTTTTGGCTTGCAAATGGTTTCTATTTGGTGTTTGAACATCTTAACACCTCCTGCTTTATTGCCAGAAAAGGTTAAAACCTATTTAAAAATTTTCATACTTTGATACTGGCAACAAAAAAAGGTCCCATTTTGTGCTGTTGCCATTCTTACTGCTGGGTGAATAGAGATCGGGGGGGGGGGGGGGTGAATAAACTTGGCATCATTTCAACTGTCAAGCCAGGAGAACGAACCGATTTTAAAATCCGTTTAACCATTTCCTTATTTGATGGCGATGTACCCCCTTATAAAAAAATTAACTTGAAAATAAATGTACAGCTTTATATAACCGTAACGTCGAATGACCTTCTTGTAATTTGCGACACAGTATTTTCTGTATATAAGCTATCATGTTATTAAGTATTGCTGTGGGTTGTCCTGTTCAGAATGAACGATTAATGCCAATCTAAGAATTAGTTTTACCCTTTCTGACAAAAAAACAGGTGTTAAGATGTGAAAACACCAGAGCATGTTTTTGTTTGCATGTTCACCACAAGTACGTGTGGGTAATGCAGACTTGCTTCCTTGCAAAAGGTTTCAGTTTGGTGTTTTAACTTGTTAACACAACTGTTTTATTGCTAGGAAGGGTGAAACCAATTGTTATATTTTGATACTGCCAAGAAAGGTCCCATTATGTTAATGCCAATCTATTGGCATGAGAACTGCTCAAGCCGAGCTATTAATGCGTTGATATTTGCATTGCTTTTGTGCTGGTCGCCTTCCGCCGTTCTCTGGCCGAACACCTGCGGTGAGACGAGGCCATGAGGGAAAGTGGTCTCTGGTGCAGGCCAATCAGTTTCAAGAACAACGCATACTTTTTTTTTCGAAGCATGTTTGTTTGGATGTCTTACCACAAAAGCATGTGTGGTTAAAGCCTGTGTGGTGTTTGAGTATCTGAACACCTCCGGTGTTATTTCCGAAAAGGATGAACCCTATTATTTTTTCGTCGTGTTGAAGGTGCATATTCTTTGCCCACAGTCCTGTACTTTAAACGTCAATTCAGTCAAGTACACTGACTTTGTGGTGTTTACAATGGACTCGGAACGTGGCGACCTGGCCACAAATGATAGTTCAACGAAGAGGCTTTATCACGTGAAAATGTACAGCAGCCAAATGCTCTAAACGCATGCCGAGCTATTAATTCATTCTAAACGTGGAGGGAAAAACCGGAGCACCCGGAAAATAAAAATTCCACGCGACTAAGGGGAGAGAAAACATGCAAGCTTCAAATATACAACAGGCGTTGGTGTCTGGATCGAACCCACGACCTCCTGTATATATCAGGCGGGGGAGTTAACATCTTGCCAACGAGGTGCCCCAACATCTCAGGGCAAGCAACAGGCAAATGCTGGCCCCATTACAAGGTTGAAGAGCGAGACGCTTTGACCGCGTGGGTTTTTCGTCACGCGCAAAGACTGGCGTTGTTCTTTCATTTGATTCACTCAAGCATTATACACAGTTCCGGTACTTGCGCCGGTGGAACAATTTGAAGAAATTATTTTACAAGAGCTATTTGATAAACACAGGCACATCAATTAGGGTTACAATTTGGCAATTGCAAAGCAAAACTAAAAAAGTTGGGAAGTGATTACTCTCGCTAAATGTAATTTAATTGTACGGCGAAAGCCTTCATTAAATCGCGACTGAGCAACAATGACCCCAAGTTGGAACAATTTCTAAATTTCCATTTCAGAAAATATAATACCGTGCTTTCAAAGATATATGCTGCTTTAAACGTAATTTAGGATCAGGCTGTCTGCTGTCATAATTACAGCAATTAGGATTGCATTTCATCAGGTAACATTCTCATGGGAAGGGTAGCACAATAGACACGTTTTTTTCTTTATTTGTCAGTACGGACCCCCTTAGTGATGTTGGGTTGTGGAGGTCAAACGTCATCATACGCGTTGAGGAAATGTTGAAAACAGCATCAAGATCGAGACGTCTTTGTGGCCACCGCCAGTGATGGCATCACCCACAACCTCCTCACCACAGCCGGTGATGGCATCACCCACAACCTCCTCACCACAGCCGGTGATGGCATCACCCACAACCTCCTCACCACAGCCGGTGATGGCATCACCCACAACCTCCTCACCACAGCCGGTGATGGCATCACCCACAACCTCCTCACCAAAGACAGTGATGGCATCACCCACAACCTCCTCACCACAGCCAGTGATGGCACCACCCACACCTCCTCAACAAAGATAGTGATGGCACCACCCACACCTCCTCAACAAAGATAGTGATGGCACCACCCACACCTCCTCAACAAAGATAGTGATGGCACCACCCACACCTCCTCAACAAAGATAGTGATGGCACCACCCACATTTCCTCAACAAAGATAGTGATGGGACCACCCACACCTCCTCAACAAAGATAGTGATGGCACCACCCACACCTCCTCAACAAAGATAGTGATGGCACCACCCACACCTCCTCAACAAAGATAGTGATGGCACCACCCACACCTCCTCAACAAAGATAGTGATGGCACCACCCACACCTCCTGACCACAGCCAGTGATGGCACCACCCACACCTCCTGGCCAACGCTGCTGCTGCTGCTACTGTGGCACAGGAGGCATGCGACCTCCACAATCTGGCCCGATGGTCTCCCACCATCTTCTGGCTCATCCTAGGCCTTCCCCCGCCTCGCGGCCGCCAATGCCTGCACAATCCTCCCTCACCCTCCACAGCCTCCTGCTACCTACAAAGCATCACGTGGTGTCAAGGCTTATTTTTGAGGATGAAACCTGCACGGTTGGCTACGTTCGGTGCGAAAGAAGTTCAACATACCTACGTGCATAAGGCCTGGACGATTCCTTTACGATGATTATTATTATTCGTCCATGTAGGAGTTAAACTTGATAGTCAGGAGAAAAAAAAACCTTACTTAGGAGAAAATAACACTAAAAACTCAGCAACTCTGCACACGTTAAGTAATTTAAAATAATAAAGGTTCACGACGGCTTTATAAATCCACTAAAGCCTCCGTATGGCACGTCACTGTTGGGGAGTTATTTGACCATGCTTCACCGCGCTGTGTCGGTGCAGGCCGGCAGTGGGTTCAATTCGATACCCAGCACTGACAGCGGTCCCGATACCTACTTGCTGTCGCACATTCTGCCCTGGTATCTTCTTCCCGAGATGTTTTTTTTTTTATTAAGACCAAGACATAGATATCAACACGTACACACATAGGCAAAAATTAACACCATTTAGCATCCAGTACAATAAAAAATGAAAACGCAAAAAATACCCACAACTTTAAGCTACTGCAAGAAAGAATTATAATTGAAACATTAACCAGAACATGCATTTGGAGATTCAACTCGCCCATGCATTTTGCGAAGGATATAAAACGCGACGTTATTGTCTGCGAAGCGCATTGCATTTCGACCGCCCACGCTCCCCATTTCTGAAAACAATTACATTCTCGTATTTGCCAAATAGCCGTTCAGCGTAGGAAATATCGGGAGCCGGCCGACGCTAATGTCAGAAGACTTTCATGCTAAAGCAATGCATTCCAACTTGGCATCCCTGTGGGAGCAAAGGCTGAACGCTGTAAATGCTCCGTACGCCCGGCTCTCTTGAATAACGTAAATGAAAAATAAGCTCAGTGGGCTTTACCTGGTAAAAAAAAAATGTATTGTGACTTGCTTACATTGTCTATATTTTGCACTCCTATCGTGTTTTTGGATTGTTTGTTGCTGCAATGTTCTGACGCGCCCCTAACTGGACACCTGTGAAAAAAGAGCTTCATAGCTCATCGGATACCTACGGTATAAATAAAGATTCCGATTCTGATAAATACATTCAACACTTGCGGGCT